CGAGGAAGAGGTTAAGACTGGAAAAGACCATCAGATAACTGTTGCGGAGGATGTTTGCCCAAACATACTGCACATCACGAGATAATACAGGAAGCACAGCACCCAACAGACTCGGTATTATCCGTCGACGACCCTCTTTTCTTCTTCTTGAAGATAGAGTCGCCCTGTGAGCCACCGTTGCCGGGAGTAAGGCGCACTGAGAGATGGACGATCGTCCTGGGACCTGGCAAACCGTCTGGACCTGGGGTATGGGTTGGAAGTCCCGCATCTGTCAGTGTATCATCGTCTTGTAGTATTTTCCCTGCGTGGATGATTCTGAGATAGGATGGTGCGGGTGGACGGTCTCCTTCGTCCTGCCACTCTGCGGTGGAAAGAGAAGTCATGTGAGGATGTGTACAGTATTGTAGATTATTAGCAGCAAATACCTTTGGGCCATGAGTTCCATACAAGCTCCTTTACTCGCATAACAGACGTGTCAGGCTCGAAAGACATGTCCCTTCGTTTGCTGGAGACGAGGAGGAAGGTCAATAGGGTCTTCGGAGTTTGTGGGATTGGCTCCTCCGTCTTCTCGGCCTCAGCGACCTGAACTGGAGCTTCATCGTTTACGTTCCCCACGTCAATTGAAGGAGAAGGGTCAGGCGCTGCTTCAGCGTCCCCTTCGGTGGGCATAGCGACCCGGGTGGTCGAAGTTCGTGCAGAAGATGTGACGGAGTAGGCGCCATAATGAAAGTCACCAAGTCTCTCCGTGCCCTCCCGCACCATGAAATTGCGGACGGCCAAAGAGGCACTTGTTGAAGGTCGTTGGTTTCTGGACATGAGGCGTGCGCGCAAGATGCAAAGTTGATGTTCTTGGCGGATGGTCAACGCTGGTACATTACATATTTAACATGCTCTGCAGCCAGGATGCGCTTGACATCGGACTGAGTAACATGCTGAATCTCGTACTTTGACTCAACGGCTCAAATTTCCACGGGCTCATAGTTCTACAGTACTCTACTCTTCCGTAACTCCCCGAATCCATCCTACTGCAGTCCTCTGCCACCAAGCCCACCAAGGACCTCATTGGACAGAAGTCCCGAGAAGCACGTATGGATCACCTGGCCATTGGCCTGGGCACATGTGCCCTGAGTTTTCCTTGTGAGGCACAAACTATAGTGGGTAACGAAGGAGCGTAGTTAGGCGGATGGCGCTTAAGCTCGCCCGCGCCCGCCCTCAGCACTCGGCCCTTTCAAAAGCCTCGCGATCTCCTGGGTTGTACAGCGATGCAGCCTCATCATCTTGACCCACGACGATCGGCGAGAACTTCGTCCGGCAATTGGAAGATAGCCGTCCTGGGCAGCATTGATCTTCCCAAACCGGAAACAGACGATCCTTTGTAAAGGCTGGGAAATTTCTACCGTTTGTCGTCGGACAAGTGGAGGTCGCTGGGGGTCGACCTTGCACAGACAAGAGGCTAACCAGGCAAGAGGTACTCGAGTGTAGGTTCAAGAAATAGGTATGAAATGTCAAAAAAACCCTCTTCCAATGGCAACTTCACAACCTGGAAAGCTCTGAAAGTGGAATTTCAGTACTGAGTAGTGAGTATCGGCCAGGTGAAAAGATTCTCCAGTCTAAAGAGAGGCCTTTGTACCTGGAAACCGTCCCTTTGAGAATAACAGCTAGGGTGTCATGGCGCGCTTTCCGATAACTTTGAAACGGAAGGCGAGCTGAGACGCGAGAGAGAGTAGAGAATATTGTGAAAGATGATGCAAAATATTCCATCTTGAAGGTGAAAGCAAACATTCATGAGTATATATCCAGATTCTGAGATTAAGGGCAGATTTTTCGGAACTTAAACGTATAAGTTTGTCATGACCTTCCTAGACTGCAGGAATGTCGTCCAGCGTTTCACCGGGAGATCTCGGCAGACAACAGCATTGCCCGAACGCTTCGAAAGGCGCGGAGTTCCAATTAGCTCAGGCGGAGCGAATGGGTCTAGATATGTCTGGATTAGAGCCAGTACAAGCAGCGAACGGTCAGGCTTGTCTTGGGTAAGGTTAATAGAGCTCCACCACAAATGCTCGCTAGGACCGCAAGTGGCAGGTCAATTGCTGCACCAGAGCAGCTTGCGTGGCGTACCCAATTATATAGGCCGTGAAACAGTTAATAGTTGTCGTCGGGCTTGTGGAGCTCCGCTCAAGAGGTAGTCTTGTCCCGCGATATTCAGAAGAGGCGACAAACGAAGATAAGCGATCGAAGGTTTTCAGGTAAGTCGAGAACATCTTGCAACTGAATCACTGACCTCTTTCTCAGGATTCCAGTACAACGGAACCTCTCGTGTCCATGGATCATACCACAGATTATCCGCTGTAATACCGGGCTGAAAGGATCTCTCGGAAAGCGTCTGCAAACCCAATTATCTTTCAGCTCAGTCATGGACCGATTGGACCAATTTGATCTTGCGGCTGCCGTGATCCAGAGTAGATGTTAGAAACCATGTGCCCACACAAGTGAACCCGAAGTGGTCATGTCTCCGAATAAAATGCACTCTGGGGGGGTTCAAGGCGAAGAGATAGGCGGCGGGGTGTCCACAAGCGAGTTGTTATGTATCACTGACACTCTTGAGCGGTCCTGGGATAATGATGGTGGCTCGGTTCAAAGGCAATGCATTGCGGTTATAACCCATCTAAATCAGATAATGCACGTTATTGTGAGGGAGAGGAAAGGTAATTGCTGGATGCAGAAAATTAGGATTGGCTTTGAAAAACTCGGATTCGGACATGAATAGTCTTGAGTTAGAAGATATAAAATTGCCAAGGCCCAATAAGAAGCTCTATTCTTTTGGGACGTGTGGTTAGGACCCATGGTGCAAGAACGGTCAACTAATTACCTGGACTAACCTTCCCCGAAAGCACTGAATGTGAAGGGGAAAAGGTGGAGTTCGAGCTGTTAGAGGGCATCCATAGAAGCACCTTACATATCAAAATATAATGAGGAATACAGCCAATCACAGTCGGAAGTGTATGTGTTCCCAAAATTTTCACGGGATGTCTGAATGGGAGAGAGCCCGCTGCGACCGACGTGACTGGATGCTAATGACCCGTATACTTGCGGAGAGGCAAGAAAGATAAAGGCAGAATCGTAGAGTTATTATGCCGAAGAAGGTTAACCGCTTTAATGAGGTTATTCCAGATGATGGTGGGTGGAAGGAAAACGCGGCAGCAGTTGGGAGAGATAGCATAGGCATGTGCTTCATTGGTCACCGCAAGGCGTCATACCAGCTCTCCTCATCCAGTTCCTAAGCATAAAATGCATTTAAGCCCGTAAGCAATTGAGCTAATCGTCTCTCAGCTTTGGAACCAAGCTACTTCATACTCGTAGCCTCAGGTGTCGGAGGCTCGCTCTTTTGCACTACTCTTCCTTTTTAGGTAGCCAATATAAGGTGCGATTGCAATTAAATATTATGAATGAACTAGGGGATTTCTATATCTCCACTTGTTCCAGAAGTGTGTTTATGAGACCTTCATTTCGTGCGCTGATTCTAAGCATGCTGTTAAACAATATCTGATTCGTGTAAAATGTTTCGTGCTTCCAAACGTGAATTTTTTGGTGTAGAAGTGTACTTTTTACAGTTTGACTGTACCAACAACCCAGCAGCCTCCTCAATCTTGTGAATCTTACTATTACCGTCCAATGAGCCAAAGGAAGGAAGCAAATAAACCGACCAAGACATCCAAACCAAATCCCTCACAACCACCCCAAGCGTATTACATAACGTTATTTCAATGCATAAACGCAGAATTCTAACGACGAAAACACCTTAGTTATATTCTATATTATTCCAATCCGCCAACGATGCTCATGAACGATCACGTGGTTGTTTTTGTGAAACAGAGCGCCCTACTTTTAAGTTTTATATCCTTACTCTATTTCATAACAAGGCCGCGGCCTGTATATAACCTTTTTACGATGCGCGAGCTGAGAAGGGAGAAGCCAGTTGACATTTAATGATAAACGCCCGAAAGCACTTCAGGTGTCAGGCAAGTCCCGCGCTCTGTAACTGTTCCTTCCTGAAAATGACTGATCGCGACGCGACGATGACTATTCACATATCCTCCGTCGCACTGTCCGTCTTGTTTTCGCGACCATCCTCCCTCGCCCCCTTCCCTTGACTCGTGATGTTGTGTCTTCTGATCTAATTCATACTCGACGAGTATATCGACATTATCAATTCCGAAGATCAGAAGGCCTCTGCGATCGTAATACACATCTACTAGAACTAAACTGCAGGCAAATAATGTCCACTGCACAGCCTACATCCTCAAGCCGCACTTCCAGCTACATATTGCAGGTATCGATTGGCTTGAGAAACTAGCAATGACATCAGGTTATCTAGACTGAAACAATTTGGCTGGCCAAACTGTATTTCATACTTCCGAGGACCTCGGTACACGCTTTCATTTCGGTTTTCTATTTCTTCTCTCCCCAGCTTAACTGAGGCAGGCGCAACTGGGATGTCCCATGCATAAGATGAAGTCTAGAAGCTGCCGGTGTATAATTCCGCGGTTCTCACGATAGAGGACTGACGATATTCGGGATGGTGGCCGGATGAATAACAACATAGGATGGCATTTCGAGGAAATGGAGCTCCTAGTCCAAGCCTGTCATATAGGGTAGAAGTGAAGAGAGTTATTGAGCAGTGTGGCAGGCTTAGATGATCGTAATATTAGTGATATGAAGCTATGGGGATCGAAATGCACGGATATTCATTTCTCGAAATGTCTGGCTCTACCATATGTGTTGAAATGTGAAAGAACAAGGAGCTCATGGTCACGCCTTGTCTTGTCACACCTTTCCTCCAACTCCAAGTTCGAGACCTGATTTAAGATGTCATACCGCCGATATAAGGTCACCGACACTCCTATATTCACTGATGGCTGCATAGAGCTGTCTAACTCGTTCAGTTACAGTTACTGAATACCTGTATATTCTTATATGCATGTACTACTGCGATGATTTAAGACAACGTGGCCGAGTGGTTAAGGCGACAGATTCGAATTTGGAATATCTGTTTCCCTCTGGGAGCGCAGGTTCAAGTCCTGCCGTTGTCGAAGTAGTTTTTCCCCTCAGGACCATTTTTAACAGTGCCTTCAACACATCGAGAACCAACAAAAGAGGATTCAGGATCGTCCAGTGAGAGTGGTCATGAGCTCAGTAAGGCCCGCCATATGTTCAACTCCACCCAAGGCCATTGTTATTATTTTTTCATTCTCCAGTATTAGCCCGGATCCATTTGGAATACAGTTACAACGGTAATACTTTTTTTTCAAATTGTAAGCATAAAAGCTAATACAAAATGCGCTAGGCACTGAGGACCAACCCCTCGAACCCATTCAAAGCCGCCACAACAGCTTTCAATCCACTCGCGGTAATATCGTTGTCACTCGCAACCCCCCATGCCCCTATCTTCTTCTTGTCCTGCTCCTTCTCGTATACCAATTCAACGAATGACGCCGCCAATACTTCTTGTCCCTCACCCAAGGAATGCTCAGAGTACTCTCGGATTGTGAGGCTGCCCGCTATTTGGGTTTGGATAGCAGAAACAAGAGAGGACAAGGGCCCATTTCCAGATCCGGAAATGGATTTAGAAGCACCATTGAATACGACAGAGCCCTTAAAGTGTCGACCCGTTGCGCTTTCGGAAAGTTCAAAGGTCGTGAGCTCGAATTTCGGCGGCGATGCCATTGCATCAGCATTCTTTGGGTAATATCCATATGTTTGAGAGAACAAGGTCGTCAGCACATCCAAAGAAATCTCTCCATTCGTCTCCCGAGCCTTTCGTTGCACAATCTCGAAGAATGAACTCTGCAACCGTCGGGGAAGCTCGAGACCCAAAGCATTAACGATAACAGAGGAAATGTCATCCTGCCCACTCCGTGAGTTGAACCCGACAGAAAGCTTGAGCTCTGGGAGCACACGATCCCCAATGTACGAGTTCACGGCGCTAAGCACTGCACGCAGACCAGAGCCAGCAATGTCAGAGGCAACGCCGACACCCCACCATGATTTGATGGACTTGCGGTCCTCAGAAGGAATGAGTTCAACATAGGACGCTGCCGAGACGTTCGAGCCTTCATCGATAGAGTGCTCCGTGTAGAAACGGATCGCGAGGTCGATATCCAAGTGTGTCTTAAGGGCGTTGAAGGAGAGAAGAGAGCGGACCGTTGCCAGTTCCCTCGAACTACGCGCAAAACGCCGTCCACATTCAACGTCCCGTCAAACCGCCTCCGATCGTCCAGCTCATCTGAAGAGTTCTCAGGGTCATCTCCGTCATGAGGCTCTCCAGAAATACGAAAGTTTCCGCAGACCTAGCCGACCTCTGTACTGACTTCCATAATGGTAGGTGGACCGGAAAGTTGTAGTGATGTCCTCAACTGTCATCTCCCTAGCTTCACGATCTGACATGGCCTGGATGACCTGGTAAAACGAAATCTGCAACTTCCTCGGAAGATCGAGGTGCAGGTGCTGCTTGATGAGATACGCGATGCCGCCTTTGCCGGACTGCGAGTTGACTCGGATAACAGCTTCGTAAGGTTTGTCCGAGGTCGGCAGGGTCAATGGGCAAGTAGGGAATGTTCCAGAGTTTCTTTCCGCCTGTGTTCTCTGCTTCAGTCGAACCGCAGCTTTTGAGCCTCAAAGCCTTTTTTGATTGCATCCTGGTGAGATCCAGAAAAGGCGGTGAAGACGAGCTCCCCAGCGTACGGGTAGCGTTGGTGGATCGGGAGGTCATTGCACTTGGTAACGACGTCGATAGCAGATTGTAAATCGCTAAAGTCGAGACCAGGTGAAATTCCCTGCGTGTAGAGGTTGAGAGGCTAGGTTGACGAGGTCGACATTCCCGGTTCGTTCTCCATTTCCGAAGAGACAACCTTCGATACGCTGGCCACCTCCGAGAACACCTAGTTCAGCAGGCAGCAATTCCAGTTCCTGTTGTAATATATATTGGACCTGAATTCTATGGAGGCTAGAGGCAAAATCCTACCTCTGTCGTTGTGCGGATGCAAGCTCACAACGACTTTTTCGCGTTCAGAAATCTTTCTGCAGAAATTTTCGATCTTGAAACAGCGTTGAATGAATGAGAAGCATGCCGTAAACACGGAGAACTGACCTGGTCCGCGTAATGATTAGGTGGTGCAATTTCGACGGTGGAAGGAAGGTTAAAGATGATTCTCTCATCTCCAAAACCTGCTTTACCCCATGCTTTCTTAACTGCCTCGCATATTTCAAGTGCAAACTCTGGCTCGGTCTGGGTAAATGTCTCTGGGCTATACTCATACCGGAATATTGTGCCATATTTCGCTGTACACTCTTCTGTGAGCTTGCGTACGATGTGTGTGTGTCTGACGGCGAGTTCGATGGTCTCTTCCTTGGAGTTTCTGAACACGACGTCGCGAAACGTGGGGGAAGTGGCGTTATACATGTGCAGAATAGCATGCTTCGCGCCTGCAACAGAGTCGATGGTGCGTTTTATAAGGTCTTCTCTCGCTGGAGTCAAGACCTAAGCTCGATTGGAGTTCAATAGAGAGATCTTGAGCCTAGCTAATAGGAAGAGGGCTCTAACCTGAATCCAGACATCGTCTGGGACAAGATTCTTCTCAATGAGACCGCGGACAAAGAGGAAATCGGTGTCGCTTGCCGCGGGGTAGGCTACTTCGACCTCTTTTATGCCTACTTCGACAATTTTTTGGAAAAACAAAGTTTTCTGCTCGATGGTCATGGGATTTGCGAGGGCTTGGTTTCCATCGCGCAGATCCGTTGAAAGCCAGATTGGAGCATGGGTGAATCTTTTAGAGGGCCATGTCCGGTCGGGGATGTCGATAGGTGTGTACGCTTTGTACTTTTGGGAGGGATCCTGAAGCATGGGCATGATGACGGTAGCTGGTAGAAAGGAAAAATAAAAATCACTTGTGACTCGAATTGTCTTCTACAAATTTCAGCCACACTTCGATCACAACCACGATGTCCCTGCGACTCTCATCCAAACTTTCTCCGTGCCCTTACGGTGCCATCGGAATAGCAACTTACACAAACGTTGTTGAAATTATCTATGACGAGGATGCTAAGGGTGTTGAGCTTGACTTGAATGGCACCAAACTTTCTAGTGAGCCAGAGATCGTCCTTGCCATCGCGAAGGCGGCTGGATTAGCAGACGATTCTGCAAAAGTGCCTCTTATCCTTTTCTGATTGAAGATTAAATTCACTCATTTGTATCTCAGAGCACATCATTCTTCGACTTGGCCAAAACACTGTCAGCATCGTCGTCTGGAGTGCCTGAGATCTTGACTTGTCTCGACACCCTCGATGACCATCTTGCCTGGCGCACATTTCTCGTGGGCCATTCAATTACGCCTGCTGATTGGCTCGTTTGGGGAGCTATTCGTTGTCTGTATTCGTCTTTGTGAACTGGCATTTAACATATCTGACTCGAATTCGCTACTCAGCAACGACGCGTTCTATGGGACTTCTCAAGAATAACAAACACGTCCATCTTGTGCGATGGCAAACTTACTTCGAGACCTTGGAGTCTACTCAAGGAGCTTACGCTGCTCTTACCGCTGCCAAAGCTTCCAAGACGCGAAACACGAAAACAGCGGCCGGTTTCCAGATCGGCCTAAAGGATGCCAAGATGGGCGAAGTGGTCACTCGCTTCCCTCCAGAGCCTTCAGGTTATCTCCACATTGGGCATGCTAAAGCTGCGATCCTCAACCAGTACTTTGCTAAAATGTACGATGGCAAGCTCATCATCCGTTTCGATGACACAAATCCCACCGTGGAACGGGCAAGTCACCTCACAGTCTTTACTCCGACAGAACACTTACGGGACTTTAGTCTGAGTTTGAGGAGACCATTCTTGAGGATTTGCGCTTGCTTGACATACATGGTGACATAGTCTCCCATAGCTCCGACTATTTCGACCAGCTCTACGAAATCGCTGTGAAGCTAATCAAGGACGGGAAAGCTTATGCTGATGACACCCCCCATTCCGAGATGAAAGAGAAACGGTGGCACGGACTCCCTTCTGCGCGCAGGGATGCTTCCGTTGAGGAGAACTTGAAACATTTCGATGAGATGAAGTCTGGCAGTGAGGAGGGTCAACGTTGGTGCATCCGCGCTAAGATCAGTGTTGACAACCCCAATAAAGCTCTCCGCGACCCTGTTATTTATCGAGTTAACCTTACCCATCACCATAGAACCGGGTTCGTGCTTTCATGTTTGATATCGAATGCCATTCACGCTTACCATGCCCTTCAGTGACAAATGGAAGATTTACCCCACATATGACTTTGCATGTCCTGCTGTTGACGCCATCGAAGGTGTCACCCATGCTCTTCGCACCAACGAATATCGCGACCGACATCCTCAATACGACTGGATGCTCCAAGCCACCGGACTGCGACATGTTCATATGTGGGACTTCAGTAGGCTGAACTTTATTTACACCTTGCTCTCCAAACGCAAACTACGTTGGTTCGTTGAGACAGGCATTGTAAGAGGATGGGACGATCCTCGTTTCCCCACTGTTCGAGGTACTAATCCCTAACTACTCTATCCATTCTTATTCTTATCACTAATTTCAGGCATCCGGCGTCGTGGTATGACTGTCGAGGCTCTCCGCCAGTTTATGCTCTCCCAGGGTCCGTCCCAATCGGTGGTTTCTCTCGAATGGGATTCTATTTGGTCAAATAACAAGAAGATTATCGATCCTATTACTCCTCGCCACTGGGCAATCCTCGAGACCAATATGGTTCCTGTAACCGTCAATGGTGCACCGAAAGAGCAGGAAGTCAAGACATTGCCCAAGCACAAAAAGAACGATGCTCTTGGGACAAAGAAGACGGTCTTTTGGGATCGCATCCTCATCGAGCAGGAAGATGCGAAGAGTTTCGATGATCAGGAAGAGATTACGCTCATGGACTGGGGAAATGCCATCGTTCGTAAGGTCACCAAGGACGAATCGACCGGTGTCATTTCTGCTATCGAGATGGACCTCCACCTTGAGGGTGACTTCCGCAAGACGAAGAAGAAAATTACGTGGCTTGCGCAACCCGCA